TATCCGAGAAAAAGACAGAAATACTGACCGAAACCTCAAAAACTATAAAACGACAAGAAAACCTTCTATAATCAGGTAGGTTTCTGGAGTGGCCACTTCAACAAAGTTTCTAATCAGCTGTTACATTTTAACTTCCTGGCTCAGGTTTTAACAATTGATAGTATTTATTTGAAATTAGATCCAGCAGCAACAGGAAGACAAACTGATAAGTTTGAGGCCTAAAACTAACATGAGAGATAAATCTGAAGTAATTTTTCCTTAGAATATTTTTATTCAGAAGTCCCATGGAGTTTCTTTCAATAGATAACTTCTTTTGACATAACCAAGGACACAGCAAAAAATTAACGAAGGACATCTCAGGTGAGTATATTACCTGGATTCCATCAAGCAAATCCTGAAGAGATTCATTTAATGCTGCAAGATCTGCAGAGCTTTTACCTGTAAAATCAAATAATCTTACTAGATGATCATGGCTTGAGAAGTAGGTGAGGCAAGACATCATGCAAACGAGTTACAAGCTCAAATGAGCATGTACCGGTTACTTCTCTTTCTACTTTTTTTTTCGAAATAAAAAGTATAAGTAACTATTAAGTATAAGCACTAAGGGGGTACAAACTCATACAAAAATATTTACAAATCGATCATGATATCTATCAAATCCCCGAAATACTCTGAATAAAAAGTATAAGTTACTTCTCTTTCTACTTCTTTTTTCAAAATAAAAACTATAAGTAACCATTAAGTATAAGCACTAAAGGGGTACAAACTCAGATACAAAAATATTTACAAATCAATCATGACCCATTACACAAAAACCTAGGTTCTGAAATTTTATCAATATCTTCTTCTATCCCACCAAAAGTTCTCTTATTTCTTTCAATAGAACTTAGAAAATTGCCAATAGTATTAGCCCCAATTGTTTTCTCCTCCCAGTTATACTCTTCCAGGGCCAAAATTCATCTCTTACGCTATCCACCATAGCCCAACGATACCCCAGGATCCCATATGCGATTGTCCATTAACTATTCCTTCCACTTCTAATAATACATTTTTTCTATCCAAAAAAGAAAGAGAATGGACAGGAATATACCAGCTTTGCCATCATTCTCATCAATGTCCATAATGCCTAAATCATCGTCATTGGCCTCATCATCATCATATGATCCATTTTTATTACCATTAACAACACCTCCTGGGGGAACAAGAGCAGGAACTTCAAAGCACATGAAGTGTGCAAAAAAAGAACTCTGCAGTTTGAGCAATAAAACAATTGGAATTTTGAATGTACAAAACGACCTTCAGAAATCAAAATTGATAATCCTAGTAAGGATAAAACCTCATCTACAAGAAGCGGGATAAATATTGTTAGCATTTTGGCATAAGCATCAGAAACTGAAGATGTATCTGCAGTATTTGCATTGTGACTGGAGCCTGTGGAAGCTTCAAGCCAAACAGTTGGATTTCTTGATGCTTTTGTACTAGCACGAAGCTCATTTGCAAATTCGCGAGCCTGTTATTGACCAAGACAACTTAATAAAGTAAAAATACATCGAGCCATTTTAATTGTTCATATATAAATACAATTGAATATTATATTATTTCAAGTTGCAAAAAAGAGAAATTTTGGTTTTTTTGCACTCTTAAAAGCATAATTGTCCTATCACCTTACCTAGGACCTGCAAACACTTTTATCTAAAACTCTGAAAAAAAAGTTCATTTTTCTAAAAATAATTTTTTATCTAAAAATTTCCCTACTCTGAGAGAAATAAAATGAATCACTACACGTAAAACATCTATTTGTTTAGTTACTTTCATGATTTAGGAGGCCGAACAAATTATTTCACCAATGTTTGCTCTTACAATTTTGCAAGTAAACATAATGAAAGCAATTCAGGATAATTGAAGAGAAGGATTATGTTCCCTGACCTCCCGCCGAAGAAGCAAGTTGAGAGAGCCACAATAGGCTTTTCTCAGAGGACCCAAGCAGTTCTTGTCAAGACTCTGAAATAGAAACGGCAAACGATTTATAAAAGGGATTGAAGTAGTGATTCTCAGAACTATTGAAAGATTAAACATTTAATTCAACCTTTAAATGTTGCAAAAGACGAGCATATGTCCTGCATTTATACCGCAGGTCTGCATGATCAGGCCTTTTTAACTGTCCCCTCTGTTAACGAAAGCAGATGATAAGTACTCAGAATCCTCAGTGCCAAAAAAGCTTTTTTATCAACAGGAAAGAAAATAAAAGTGAGGAAGAACCTGAGAAAAGTAACTCTTATCACTAATCATGAAATCCACCAAACTGGCGAAGTAGTTTCTCAGGAACTCAGAAGCTCTCCTGACAAATGTAGCTTTCAACTTCTCAAGTTCTGCTCGTTTCTCTTTGACCTGAACAAAACTCAAGCTGTTTTAGAATTTAGAAATGAGACAATTTAACGGATATCATGTCTATCAAGCAAAAAATAATGACCATAGCAAAATCTAAAAATTTCAAATTTGTAAAGAAAATCTTGGCCAATCAAGCAAACTTCATCATTTGAATAGTTTCTTTATATTCAAACTATAATATTTTTGGTGAAAGATTAGTGCACATCCACGCTATGATTAATGCATATTCAACTACAATTAATTATGAACTGCAGCACGAAAATAACTTTGGAATCTGAAGTATATGTGTGCGATAATCCCCTCTCAATTCCATATACTACATTGGCAAACCAGATATCATCTATCAGAATAAGAAATAAAAGCTATGGATGAACAACCTCATAATAAACACAATTTCAGCAATAACAAACAGGAGAAAATGCAGAAGGCATACAGCTCGCATGCTTGCATAAGTGGAATCCAGATTTGGCACTTCAAGACCACGTAAGGCTCCTGTCAACCACTCACATGCTTCAATATTTTGAAGCATACGTGCTTCATCAAATGAACCTCCTGTTAGACATGCTGCATACTGTAACCAATGGAACATAGTTAAGAAAAGAAAAGGGAAAGCAGGAGTAGCCAATAGATAACACCTGAATATAAACTAATCATCATCGGATTGCAATAGAGAATTAGAAAGTTCGAAACCTCAGAAGGAACATGCAGTCTTTCAAGAAGCTTGTCAAGGTCCTCAATGAGCGCCTTGTTGTTTACAGATTGCATCTCTAACTTGTTATTGCGGGTTTCTATCTGAATATCAGGAAAAGAGTTTATAGATATGTAGGCCAACATATGAAGTAATCAAATCTTCCAGCAAATTCTTCTTTTCCAAAGAAATGTCCTATTCTTGAAGTGAATTAATTGCCACCAATCAATTTGTAGCAAGGAAATAATAAGTAAAGATAATACAGGTTGAATCAACTTTTACATCTAACCCCAAAAGATGGAAGCAAAACAACACTTTTACCATGGATATTGCCTAGCAAAAGTATGTTTTGCAATTAACAAAATCAGTGTTTTTCCTCAAGAATCTTATACTTACAACTTTCACCACCAAAGTAAACTTTGAAATATGCCAAAACAAACTAACTCTATGGAGCATGAAAGGAGCAAGGAACAAAATAAAACATAATGAATTGCCAGTTGAATAAATCATGAAATCAACAGTCCAAGAAAGAAGCCAGTACATTAATCTAGCCAGGGAGATACAGCTATCTGCATCCGTGCACAGGCACGGTAACTTTCTCAATACTAAAATTAGGAGCAATTTATGGAAACACTCTGAGGAGTGCACTAACTCTATAAAATAAGAAGAGCAAAGAACATGCACCATACGTGTTCTCTAATTTGTGTTACCTTCATCTCAAATTCTGAAATAGAGAATCAAGCATTATGACTGATCAAAGACAACTTATTTGAGTATGTATGTGTGTATATATATTATGCCCTTTCTATGTAACAAAGAAGCATCTTTCTGCAGTGCACTGACATGATTGATACGCATCCTAAAGACAACGTCGTTTCCATTTATCCTCAATAAAAAAGATATTAAAGGTATTCAACAGAAATTTTACATAATACTATTGAACTATCATGAAATCCCCTACCGATTCAATATCTTCTCTCATATGTCTAAGTTTCACATTGAAGATGCCTAACCATTCATCCATGTCATCAACACAATTTGTTGCTGCCTCCAGCCCTTGCAATACCTTAAATACAGATAAATAATAAAAGAACATCAGATCTAATCTTCATAATGGTGCAAGTAGGGAATAAAAGACTTTTTTAAAAAAAGTAAAAAGGATGAGAACTCGGTATGAAAAGAAAAAACATAGCACTAAATATACAATAGAAAAAAGGAATACCTCTTCTATCAAAGGTTCACTTTCCAAAATGGCATGTACGTTTGCTGCTTCAAGAGCAAGAAGTTCACGCTTCAACCTTTCTGAAAATGCTTCAGCTTCACCAATGCCCATAACATAACTGCAAATGAAGAGTAGAGATATCAAATATAGATTAGAAGATAACACAGCAAGTAAGACTAACATGAATAAAAAGGTTAAGTTCTACAACCAGTTAAGCACCCATACAGATAGGTTTCTACAAGCAGAAGCAACTAGAAAATCAAGAGACAGCATAAAATAACATTTGTTTCTGTCGATAAGATAGCACGAAAAGAACATCAGTCGAACAGTAAAAAGAAATTTCAACAGCAGCATGACAAAGAAAAATATGATTCTACAAACCCCAGTTAACTAGGGAAAGAAAAAAGTATTAGGAGTATAAATAATAGATTGGAGTCTTGTTTTCCTCCTCTTTTTTTCTCTTTCCAATCAATTAGTTCACATGGTATCAAAATAAATAGTCCAGAGTCCAAGTGATGGTTGCTAACACAATTTTAACACAAAATATGATACATGTGTTTGATCCACGGTTTTAACCTAGTAAACTTGCATGTGAGGTAATATATTGAAGTATAAAAAACATACTGGATCATTTTCTATCAATCTAAAAGTTTCATAATAATTAGCCACAATCAATTATTTTAGACACACTGACATCAATCATAACCAAATTGAGTTTCTTAAACTACTTTTGGATTCAAATGATCAAGATGACATAAATTAAATACACAAATCGGAGATCTTATCTATCTCTTGTTAATTGAATCCAAGAGGATCTCAATGTAGACTACATGTTGCAGGCAAATTCAAGGTGTGCAACAGATCTGTCATTTATGTTTCAAGAGGCTCAAAATGTTTAGTAGATCTAAATGGTTGCTGCCAAGTCATGATTTACATCTTTATCCCATCTTTTTCCTATTCAGTCATAATGCATAATGAAGCGTCCCTGCAAAGTAAATTAACGCAAGCTAGAACCAAAATAAAGAGCTTTTGCAGACATACGTGCCCAGAAGAGCCTCCATGTCCTCTTCCTCAGCTTGGGAAACAAGTTCTTTTTCAACAGTCACTTTCAAGTCACTTTCTGTCACTGTATCAACAACTGGACCATCTTGCAGATTCCTTTGAGTTGTAACTGCAGGCGTATTTTCCTGTATCCAATTAATATAAAAGTAATTTTTTGTGATGAAGTAGATTTCACCAGGAAATCTAAGTCACAGCACTTTGAATCAAGAACGTAGTAGATCTAACAAACAAGTCAGTTTTAAATGAAATAGAATGCAAGATCTCTTTAATCTAGGATGGTATAAAACATATGAACATAAATGTCACTGAAAAAGAGAGAGACTTTACAGAATCTTTTCAACCCCAAGATGATATCATATATATCAAAAGAAATGCTAGAGATGAAATGACGGATGTACCAAGATCTTTTCATTTTAAGTACGATCTTGACTGTGCTTTTAGTATATAACCTACTATATATTACCTTATGGTACTGTATAGTAACATGGAAATGGGCAAAATGATAGGGTCCAATCCTTTTTTTTGTGGCAAAAATATGGGCATCAAAAAATAGAAAAACCACCAAAAATTAGAATGACTTTGTCACCACAAAATGGTAGACAAAGTGGTCTTCACTAAAGTAACTATTGCTTTCCTGAAGGAACTCCCTCTCCCTCATTCTCTTTCTCTCTAATCTTCTTATTGACATCAAATTATTATTATTTCTTAATCTTAACTTTATTTTCTATAATAATTTGAGCTTGGCTTCTCAAATGCACACAACTTTTTTATCAAAACAGATGTGGCCATTATTAAAAAAGTAAATTTCCAACAATATTGATTTTAACTATGTTAAATTCTTAAGGCAAATTTTCTTTTTCTGTTTTTTCTTTATTATTATTAATATGAAAAAAATAAAAATAAAAAGATG